TGTGCAAATGATTTTACCATTGCATCATAGTAAATGCTATACATTATATAATGCCCAGTGATCAAAATCAGCTTCTTAATGACTAAATGTATAATGTTGTCTGTTTCTAATGTACTGTAATATAGTAGTGTTAAGTTAGTAGTAGCATGGTTTCATGCTTAATATAAGGTGACTTATCTGAATCAGTGCACGTAGAGTATCTGCTGATATGCAAACAATTCAAAGGATGACTCCAGAGAACCGAGACATCTGTTGAAACTCCTGCCTGCTTTGGCTCTTGGAGTTCATATAACAGAGAAAACAAATTCCCCTGCATGTTTCACTAAAGCTCCAGGAACATGATGCACTACATGCTGACTAGGTAAAACCCACACTGACTTTTATTTCAACACTCCTCTGAAAGGAGCCAGTGGTAATATGATTTTGCTGAAATTACCATAGGCAATAGGTAAAATGCTTCTGTAATATCTTTCCAAGCCTCAGAATCTGCCTGCAATAATGGCCATTATTTTTCACACTTTCCTTGTTAAGTCAGAGGTGACCTACAGTACTTATACTGTACGTTCACTGTCTGTGGTATTTCAAAAGAGACAGGGGATTGGACACCCTGAAAAGAATATCTCCATCTTTCTTCTTTCAACACGTGCAATTTCTCTGTAAACCAACAAAGTACTGTACTTGCCCAATTACAGGTACTGTAAATTTGTTTGGAAATACCTTGCTTATACTGTATTAACAAGTTTAGAATTGGAAACTCTGCTGCATTTGGAAAAATGTAACTTAAAAAGTGTGTCTGCTGTACTTGATTTAATTGGTTCCTGATTGAACAGATGAAAGGACTCTGGTCTGATTTGCATGTTAATTAATTAGTTAGCCTGCATTTTGCCTAATATGCAGACAACAAAAATAAATAGCATAATCATACCGTGTAATGGTTTTATGTAAAAAATGTCAGTTTTTAAGTGCACATTAAAATACTTCTTTTTTCCTTTTAGACCCATAGAAACAGGGTAAGATAATTACAACAGCAGACAGGCTGTGAATGTGTGTCAAACTGTTGGCAGGTGAAACCCACTAATGAGAAAACTTGGAGACTGCTCAGTTCTCTGGGTATTAATGTAAATGAGAGGTAGTGTTAAGGAATCCTAAAATTCAAATCCATTGTTTATTTTAATTATTAAAATCTAATCATTTTCAGTTAATGACACCACACTATTGGTCATACCTGTACAGTATGCCTTATTTGTTATAACTGTAAACTTATTATTCATTTTGTTTCTTTTTCTTTTTATTATGTTTTTTAGCCTTCCTTATTGCTTGAAAGTTGAAACTGAAAAGTTTTAAAACATTGATTATTTTTCTGGCATCCTGGAATGTTTAAGTGGTGTTCTACAACCTATTTTGAAAACCACTGCTATATATTTAAAGGAACAGTGCATACTCATAATATAATGCAATGAAGCAGAAAAATACAAAAAAGAAATCTAGTGGTGGTAAAAAAAATCTTATTTTTAATTCTTAAAAAATACTTTGCTACTATCTTTCTGCAAAAATTAAATGTGTCCAAATTAGATAGATTCTATTATATAAATAATTTATTTGTTCAAAGAGTAGGTGGTGTGTAAGCAGTTATTCATAAAGTTACCAACTGACCACATACTCATAAATAATTTGTTTCTAATGACTCATGTGAAGCATATGTGAAAAAGGGGTGATTATGTGTCTGTGGATTAGTACACTGTGACTGAGCTGAAGTGTAAATACTGGGACAGGTCTGAGACCTGCTCTTTTGCAGTACTGTATGTGTAAATTTTTATCCAGATAATGCAAAACTATATTCTCACAAAACTAATTTAAAGGGAATACCAGTTAATTCATAAATACAAGGATAGAATGTTTGTGTTTGTTTCTATTTTTTGCAAAGCAAATAATACTCTTGATTACATTCACAAATACTTTTTATGTGCAGTACAAGGTAGGTATTAAACTTAGGAGCTAATAAATGTTTGTTTGATTGTTTTGTTAATGTCATGTCCTGTTGTTTCAGTTGCACCTGCACATAAAATGAATAATTTTAAGTCTCTAATCACAATTCAAGCAGATGAATTTATCAGCTTGGACAGTTTAGGAAAAGGAGTAGCTCTTGAAGAATAACAAAAGCCCAACCTTGTCTGCTCTTGCTCAACAGTGAGATGTGAATTGTGTAGTACAAAGAAGTACAAAGAGATCTATTTATATATCTTAAAAGGAAAGTACTTGGTCTGCTGTTGAAAACAGGATACATGTTTCTCAGTGTACAGCTTCCTGGACGTCAGCCATACACCTGCAGAAGCTAGGACACCACCAAGAGTCTCTTGAGACCATGATTTCAGTCATATAAAGGCTGACAATATAAATACTCTTTTTCAGTTAGAGACAGTTATCGTACCCTCCTTTAAAGATACAATACTTTACAATATACACCAGGTATGTAAACACATCAAATTGTATACATATTATCACTAGTGTACATACATTTTCATTGTATGTTTTATTTATATTTGTCATATGATACAGCTGTATCCAGTAAACTAATTTAAACTGGGAAAAGATTTCATAAAAAGAACATAGATACATAAGTTTTAAGTACTGTACATATTCCATTTTCTATTCTACATGTTAATCCCATATACCAAGCTTTAGCTGGACAAGGACACTATACTTAAAGAATTGCAATAATTAAAATTAAGCTATATTATTTAAACATTATTATGGCAGTTTAGGAATTTATGGTATATACTGATTTTTTCTTGAATTTGGTACATTTTTTTAAAACCTCTGCATTGATGGACACCATATTTGAGGGCATGTCATACTTTTATAGTATGAGACATTTATGCTGAGTTCTAGTCTAAAGTGTGCTGACACTAGCATCCAAGTCATGCTGGATTAAGTTGGTTCAGTTTGCAATTAAACTGTTTTGCAATCTTGCAAATAAAATGCATAAAACCAGTCACATAAAGCCAAGTCCAAGATATTCTCTTTCAGAGCATTTAATTAACCCCAGAGCAGGGTTAGATTTTATGTATTAAGTATTCTGTGTGCTAAATGGCAGGTTCAAATAACACCATCAACTTAAACATGTTTTAAATCAAAATATTGTTGCTTATGACTAAAAAAACAAATAAAACCTGAAGATATATCTGTGTGACCACTTCCTTTCTTGTCGCCCAGGTGCAGCAGCTTTTTTTTCATTCCTCCCCACAGTGTGTTGAATAATCAGTATAAACCTGAAACTGTTTTTCACTTTTCAGTATTAATCACTTCAGTTACTGTCACGCTGAGCCATTCCCAGAAAAAAAAGCTCCATTCAAATAAACAAATAGTGAAGTGTCTCTGAGATAATAATGGGAAGCATTTAGACAATAAAAAGAAAATGTATTAAATTAATATTTTTCTCAGATGATTTCCATGGATATTCCAACAACATATCAAAGGCTGAGGGAAGACAAAGTTTTGTATTAAATAGTATTAAAACAGAAGAAGCAGAAATGTTATGTGCAATAGAAACACTTAAGATAAAAAAAAATACCTACGGCCTGATGATATTCTATATGCTGTATTAAAGTAAACTAGATAAGATAAGATCCCTTTATTAGCCATATACAATTTATTGTACTAGGAATTTTTCTTTTCGCATGCCCCAGCTTGCTCTCCATGAGACACACAGACACACAGTTATTCATAGACCGTATACAACAATTCCTCCCACAGTCACTTTAATGGGTAATATACGTGAAATGATTTATATAAACACAAATTCTTCTTAAGTAGCTTCTTCAAGCTCAGTTTCACATTTTATATCTATAGTTTATGATTTTGTTACCTGCTTGTAATACTGTGTAGTACTCTAGTAAGTGTCATCGTCTAGTCTTGAATTTTGTCTAAATATTTATTTCCTTTTTAGCTTCCATGGTGTTTGCTAATACCCTATTGTGGTGTTAATTGCAAATGTCACTAGTTTACTAGCTGTATCAGTTACCCAGAAATGGTTTATACTTGTACATTGTCTGCAGCTATATGCCCTACTTATGTTGAGAGTGAGCTTTGTACATTCTAGGCTTACATTGATTAAACAATTTCCTACACTGCAAAAAAGAGTACATTCACTTTCTTGTGTGAAAGTCCTGTTGAGCTGCAAAGTTGTTTGAGCAACTGACACTCTTCCTCACTGTGTTTTCTGTTATCACTCCATGGGTCTCTATCAAACTCTGCTGTGTCCTCAGTCCCAGACACTGGGTTGAGTGAACTGGAGGTTATACAGTAAACTGCTGCCTCCGCTGTAATGACGAGTCAGTCTACTTTAACTGAGCAGCAGAACTGAGAACAGCAGGCTTTTTTTTACCGAAAGGCTTGTGGGAATCTGTAACAAGCTACCCAGCCATGTTGTCAAAACCGATACCCTGGCTTCCTTTAAAAACCAGCTGGGTAAAACCCTTGGATCATTTAGCTAATAGCAACCTTTCTTATGTCATTGCATGCACCTCTTTGACTTTAAAACTAACCGCAATCCTGTCTACCTGGATGACATTTTCTTGTTTGAGATGGGGGAGTGGAGTTTTCTTTCACAGCTGATAGAAATGATGTTTTAGTAGTAAGTGCAATGATAGGTTATGTACAGTATAGAAGAAACTGAACGATATTATTTTGAAGACCTCCTGTTAGAAGCATTATAATGATCAAGCAGTTGCTACTTCTTTTTTACAACTCACAGCTTACACAGAGGTCTTACCTGTTATTTCATCAGGTACCGTACCTTTGAATTGAGGATGAAAAGGAATTGTTAGAGAACATGCATTTTGCTCAATGCAGTATATTGTTAAACTGCATTACCCACTGCATTAACTTTAGGACTTTTAAAACTTGCATATTGTTTTGTAATATTGTTAATGAGCACATACAATATTTTAACATTTCAAATAATGTCAATTGTGTTAATATTATGTTTTCTATTTTTGCAGTTTGTGTTTTATATACACAAGGAGTTGGCAATAAAGAATGGAGAGAAGTAAGTATAACTGTATTTACATTCCTGTGCACATTTTTTTAGGCACCGAAACATTGTAATCTATAAGGGAGGGTCTGACAAAGACATCTCTCTCATTATACATTGTTATAGGAGTACAGGAAAGATTAAATAAATCATATAACAAAATAAATTAAATAACAAAAAATCTTGTTAAGCACTGAAACATGAGTGTAATGTGCATGTTACAATCATACTAGCACTAGATATTAGCAAAACCGTTCCTTGAAATTACCATAGGTCCAACAAATTATTTTAAAATAATGATTACCGATATAGTTGGCTCCTACAGATGCAGCCATTCAAAGTTCGCCGTAAAAACCCGTACTGCACGCAACTATGCACGAGCCACCACGCCGTACCTCGGTACGTGATTGGCTGGCCAAAATGACCGACAGGGGCACTTGTGGTGCATTGGTCAGTAGTGAAAAGATTTAATCATTCTCTTTACTGTGCACATTTTATTCTGCTTAGAATTGAATATTTATATGGAATTTTACAACTAAAGGGAAATTGTAGTAGCTGAGCATAAAAAGAGGAGCATAACGCATCTGAAGGTCATAAACGATATTAATTTAGGAACATAAACATATTATGTAAACTGTATATTGCTGGTATTGGTAGTTTAAAGAAAAAATATGCACCACTATTCCATTCCTCCCTAAACATTTTAAGCATCAAAGTCTTAAATGTGGTTATTTAGGAAATGTTTTTATGTGCTCCTTCTGACCATATTACTGTACGTTTATATACTTTGTGAAAATTGATCGTTTTAACCTTTTAACATTTTTGCCTGTTTGACTCTTACTTTTGTAGGTCTTTACATTTACCCATAAATATTCCAATACCCTTACATAGTGTTAGCCCTAAACAAATTATACAAAAAGGTACTGTATGGGCAATAAATGGAGAGTAGTGCCACAAATACAAAAGTTGTAATAGTCCAAGCAAACCACATTAAGAGTGTGTTTTGAGTCGGTAATGTCATCATAATTATACTTTTCTTAAGGCATGGAACATTCTATTTGATTTAATAAATATCACAGCTGAAAGGGGTATTTTCCATCTTTTATACTTGTCACTTATTTTTATTCTTTTGTCAGCTTTCCTTTTTGTGGAGATAAAGCATTTTGGTGCTCACTCCTAAATGCACAGTATGGCTTGAGGCCAGTTTCCATCACTTCAGACTCTCAGATCATCCCTTTGTTAAAAGACAGCCGTTTTGACAGAGCCCTGCTTTAAAACTTACATCTGGAAACTGTAACATACTATTAAATCAAATTTCTACACAGTTGATTCTGAAACAAAACGATTTACAAATTAATGGGTAATTCATTTCTGTGATCATTTATTTGTCAGTCAGACATTTTTTAAAATACATATGAAAACAATATTCATACCATTTGAACAGAATATATTTCATGCTGCACTGTCATGGCATGGAGCAGAATAGCTCTGTTTAAAAGGGTAGTGTTTAAAAGACATCAATAATTACTGTATAATGCTTGATAAGGACAATTAAGAACTTAGTAATTATTAGCTGCTGTTACCAAGGGTCTGTAAGCTGGTATTACAGAATTCCTGCACTTTCAATAGGCTTACATTTAATTAATTAACTAATGTATCTATTAACCAATGTACCCACTAACTAAAGGTTTTGGACTGCACTTTAGCAATTTCTAAGAAAATGGACTGTATTTAATCTCCTAGTAATCATAATTAATTCAGTGGAATTTTAGTTTTAAGTTTTTAGTGGAATAATTAAGACAATAAATTGTCTTGGAAACCATAGTGTAAGACTACCTCAATACAATACTATTGAAACTTGTTTAGATAGCTCAAGTACAAGTGTGAGAATTTGTCAATGACTTGCTGTCATTTTTTCAAGATTCAAAATTTTCAAGATTTTTTCAAATATGAAAGTATATATATATAATGTATATTACATGTTAAAAAATTGTAAACATGTTTTCAGTACTTACCAAGCTGACATTGATTCTTTGTATGAAAATTTAACTTGCATAATAAAGAAAATAGAAGAATAATACCTTGTGGGTAGTTTTTTAACTAGACGATTCCATCCAATTTCAGTTTGAACATCCACTTTTTAATGTATTTAATGTAGCATTTCTTGTCAAAACACATTGTTCACATTTCATTGTATATGCTAGCTAAAACACATTTCATTGTATATTCTTGGTAAGAATGTAAAAATGTAATTTGATCGATAGATGTATGTTGTTTTATTTAATATTATATGTAGAAGTGAATTGAAAATGAATACTGTCTTGATAACCTAATGATTTAAAATTAATTTTATGTCTTCATGAATAGCTATAAGCAGTCTTTGATCAAGGGTGAAACTGGAGATTTGGTTCAATTCCAATTTTTTTTCATAGATCATTTTCTTCTTTCACAGTTTGGGAGGACAGAAGTTATCGACAACACATTGAATCCTGATTTTGTACGGAAATTTATTCTAGACTATTTCTTTGAAGAGAGACAAAACCTCCGATTTGATTTGTAAGTACTTAAATTATAAGTTACAGTGCATGTAATTTGCCATTACTAATAGATTTTGCTGCTCAGCAGGCCTACCCTGTTAGAGTCTGTATTTAAATAACTCTCAAGAGAAATGAGAGGGTCAGGAAGGGAAACTACCAGTGCCTCAGAGATGTGTAAATAATTGAACCTTTGCAGTAGTAAATTTTAAATCTTATCTTCTTGTTGTCATGGGGATGGAGAATGATTAAGGACTGCAAATTAGTAAAGAGATTTTAGCTGAAAATTTTATTTGTTGTCCCACTAAGGAGGCACCAGAGTAAATGTAAACCGGGGTTGTTTTGAAGCATATAGGTAAGGTATTACTATTTCATGTGACATTAAGAGAATTAAACATTGAGTAGGAATACAATAAAATAAAAATAATCAACGGATTAGTTGCTATTTATTTAGAGGTATCTTCAGTTTGCCACACGTTTCATTGTCAACACTTCATAAACAGTAACGATTCATCAACATCTCATCATGAGTTGACAACAATTTGTAACTGACAATTTAATCAGCAGCAACAATACACCACTGGACTTCTCATCACTGAGAATTCCATTTAATTATGATGCCGACACTGTTAAAGGCGTTAAAAATCAATAGCTATATTGTCACCAGTTATACACAGACACTGTGCAAAAAACAAATTTAGTTTGAATTTAGTCTAGAGGGCATTTCATAAATTAAAAATAGCATATATGCTATAACTTGCAAAGTTCATAAATGAAACACAGCAATGTACTGTCATTTTTAAGACCAATTTCCTCTTTTGTAATAAGGATTACAAAAAGTTAAAAAAAATATTCCAAATATGAATCCTGTATTTCTTCATGGCAGTAATACCCCAGGGTATTATTTGTTTATAATTTCTCATAATGCTTAGCTCTTAGCTCCAAGGATGTACATAGGCATGAAGGCACAACGAACACACAATGGAAGTGAAAATCAGAATGTTAAATAAACAAATGTGTTACTGCAGATGATTTACTTTTAAATGTTTTATTTGTGCATTATTATTGCTTGAAGGAACTGCCCAGTCATAAGCAGACTGTTATTTTTCTTGAGAAAATCAAATTGTATATGAAAAATGAAGTTTTTGTTGTGGCTTCATAATAAATTGTTGGTGTGGCATTGTCATACTGTAGATCTGATATATGATGCATTATTTAATGTGCTCATGGAAACTCCATCCATGCTGTGTATGAATCCATTCCAGTTGTTAGCTTGTTTAGAGTGCTTGTTAACAAGGTGATTATGCAACACTTAGATTTTTTAATCCATTTGGACTTTTCCCTAGTATCTAATTTCCACAAAGATTCTCTAATTTAGTTCAAGTAATTGTTTCCATAACCTTTCATGTAATAGAAGTAAGACTTATTGGTTTATAATTACTTAGTTCACTTATGTAACCCTTCTTATGGGCTGGCACTACATTATCATTTTTTCATTCCATTACTACTACTGCTGTCTTGAGCTACTCTTGGAAGAGTTGTGTTTATGATTTCTGAAAAACATCTAATGTTTCTTTAAATCCAATTGGTATGATACCATTAGACCATGGGTATTTATTTATCTTCAATGCTTCAAGGTCTTGAAAACTTCTGCCTCTTTTATGCTAATACTATTTATTATAGAATTGTGTCATTTGAAAATAGTCATTTATGATATCAGACATTTCCTTGTCTTGAGGTTTCCTATTATTGTCTGGGATATACTTATCATTATCATTAACTGTTCTTTTGCTGTTGTAGTAACTAAAGAACATTTCATTATTTATTTCAGCTTTTTCTCTCTCTTGTACTTTCTATTACCTTTTTTAGCCTTTGCTTGCAATTCATTATACGACTTTTCCTTAACTGAATCCTGTTGTTCTTTAATCGTTTTATTGTACTTTGTCATCCATTCTACATCCTACATCCCTTCTGATTTTATAACTATCTAATCCCATTCTTTTTCTCTTAAACTTGGTCTCAATCCTTCAAAGTCTAATTTCTGTCAGTTGTAAACTTGTTTGGAACTCAACCCATACAATTTAAAAATATTCTTCAACGCATACCATATTGTGATCACAATGTCATATTTTGTTAACTTACAAACAATAGATATACAGTATACATTTTTAATAGCAAATATTTTAAATCAATATGTCAGTGCTTGGACTGAATATGTTTATGGATGAAAAAATATCAATGTTAGCAAAAACAGGAAAGAAAAATCCAAAACGAAAATGTTGATTGTATAACTATTGTATCAGATCCTTCGTTGGATTAATGTGACTAGAGTCCAAGAGTTCTTATTTCTTTGTTGCCTTAAACCTGTTGGATTTTGGCGGTAGATATTGTTTGGCCAGAAACTGGGATATACCTGTAATCTCTCACATCTGACACAATAACTGTTGACAACTAAAGTTCCCTCAATCTCCATAGTCAGGTGCAGCTGATTGCTTCAACCACCTCCTGTGTGCTCAGTAAAAATTCTCTGATCTCTGGAGTGATGACATGAGCTGCTTTCTCATTATTCATCCTCCTCCTGAGTCATTTCTGGAAGCACAACTTATCAAGTAATATGTAGAATGAATTACATTGCGTGCATGTGCTTAAAATAATATCCATTTATTTAATATTGTAACGCATACGGCCTCCATTGCTTGCGAGAGCTGGTTTACCAGAGCGGTGACGTCACCGCCCTTCCCTGAGAATAGCAGGGACCGCAGCCGCCGGGCTGAGGGGAGATTTCCCTTTGGCTCAAGAGGCTGGATCCCTGTCGAGTGATGCCGGAGGCAAGGGTTCAAGTCCCCGATGGTGGGGGGCTGACCTGATGTGGCAGCCGCAAGGGCTCCCACATGAACCCTGTAGTGTTACAATATTTTGGTTAATGCTTATTTAATATGGAGTACAGGTGTGATTTGAGTTAGTTTGCTTAATCATCTTGAATCACATAGCTGAGAGTATGACAGCTTGCCTGTCAGGATGAAGCTGTCTGAACCCCAGAAGACGTTTCTGGGATCCCATATCATAGACGTTGAATTATTTAATTACAGAGATAAAAATAGAATATGAATAGGGATATGGTTAGGGTCAGAAAATGGGATATGAATGGTCTGATGGAAGCCTTAGTAATATTTGTAAGATAGCCAGTAAGAGTTAAGAGAATCTGATGCTCTGAAGAATATTGTTTTTAGTGAAGGTGACACAAGTGTACTGGAATGAATACATCTGAACTTGGTTTAACTTGATGTCAGCACTGCTTCAAGATGGATGTTGGCTCCATGTAAATCCCCCTTGAAATCTGAGAATACTGATCAATGGAGAATCTTAAAGGGGAATTGGAGACATTTTACAAATCCAAGGGGCTGCAAACCCGTGTTTAAGGTAGGACTCTGGAGTATGTCAATTGGACCACTGAGGAGAACCTGGATAAAAAATCACACATGGTGGAGAGGTGGAAAACTGAAGATGAGACTCAGCTGCTGGAAAATTTGAAAGCAGACTGGTGTAGCTGAGATAGGAAAAGTTGGAGTCTGGAATGGTGAGGTTGACCACAGGGAGACTTATGAAAAGGCTGGTGGGATTAGCAAGATGGAGAGCATGAGAATTTGTGTTGGCAGCAGCTGCTATTGGGACCAGAAGATAAAAAGGCGAAAATTTCACAGGCAAGAATATGGATGAGACAAGTACTGAAGAGAATTGTTCAAAATACAGTGCACAGACAGATAACATAGACATGGACATTTATACAGAAGTGACCAATTTTTGTTTTATTTTCTTTTTCTTTCCTTTTTCAATAAATTACTCATTAATCACACATTTGCTAAAAAGTATGATGGAAAACAAACTGTTGGTAATTGCTTGCTTTCTATAGATGATCCAGAATCTCACCCAATAGTGAATGTCTATTGAGATAGTAAGCACTTTGTAGTTTGGTGGTAGGCCTAAAAAACTGAATTCTCGAAACAGAGTATGATTTTGAAGTTTGTTCCAAGACTGAAAGTAAAAACTACTTAACCTTTAAGGACAGAAGAACATAAGAATAGTTACAAATTTGAGGAAACCATCTAATCTCTTTGGCTGTTAGTTGCTATGTAATCAGAGAATCTCTTCCAGCTTTCTGTAAATCTAAATATATATTTAGACATAGCAGATGATCCTCTATTTTAGATCTTATTATTGTTTTCACAACCACATGACTTATAGAATAAAACATATTGGTCTGCAATTACTTGAATCAGTTTTTGAAACCCTTTTTATGATGTGCACTATATTAACAATTTTCTTCTTCATGGGTACTACCCCAGGTCTTGAGCAATTTTACTGAATTGTTAATTACTACTTATCCTGTCAATAAAAAAAAACACTGAAACATTGTCATTACCAGTATGTGTTTTTCTTTATTTTTTCTTTCTTTATTATTTTATGTGACTTATTTATTTTTTTACATAATTTACTGCTTTATAATATAGTCTGTAAACAGCTATTTACAGTTCCTGTCACTGATCAGATTGAGAACAGGTGTTCACGTTTAATTTCTAATCGGGTGGGTGTGTGCAATTTATTGCTGTTGATTACTGTTCAGCAAATACAAGATACCTTTTAAATAAAGGTAACATCAAGTAAATCTTGAAATGTTTTTCTTTTTTAATTCTGTAAAATCCGCAATATCAAAATGACGATAATAAACAATACAGCAATGGTTTAGCATTCAGTTTACTCATGGATCACTCATAACTCATTTCGGTCTGAGGCGCAACTCCAAAGTCCCATCCTGTCTTAAGGTGTCATTCGGTGTTGTTTTAACACATTTTAATAGAATTTCACTGAAACTGTTAGTACCTCTGAGTGACTGTTCTTGTCAAAAATACTTTTTTTCATCGTGTCAGCATACAAAAGCCTCTTACTGTTGTTCAGTTACTGCCACATAGATGAATGTCTTCATTTGCCATTATTACCATGAAAATAAATTGGTTGTTTGCAAAA